ACAGAGCATGGGTCTGTCCTATGGCCCATCCAGATTAATACTGTCTATGCCACCTAGGAGGAATGCTCCAAGGTTGAGCGAATGTCCCTGTGCTATCTGATTGCCCAGTATCCTTTTAACTGGAGTGGAGTGAGAACTCAACAAACTAAGCATACATCTATTTTGCCCTTGGTGACATAATCATCTTTTAAATATAAAAGCAATGCATAATAATCTGCTTAAGAGGCAAGCCTAAGACATTTACCTGGTCAAACAGATGCACGCCACTCCTGACACAACAGAGCGGCAATTTCTATTATCCTTTCCCTTAAGAAAGGTGGATGATGAATTCATAAATTTGCCTTTGCACATGTGCTTCTGAATCGTGCACTTCCATTTCACTGTACTTTGTGCCGATCATATGGGGAGAAGACAGTAGCTTTTTGGACAAGCAAATAAACTGGCCCGAGTTCTCACTTACTAGAGAGAAGAAACCATAAAGGTTTAAGTTACATTCTTGCTAGTGATGGCAGAGGTCTTTTTATCATCCTTTCCATAATATTCATAATGCAGGGGTTATTAGTAATTTCTAAAAACATTGTTACTTGTCCTGAATCTAATGAGGATAAGGGGCATACCAATAATAAAACATGCAAACTAAATAAGTAACTTTCCTTTGAGCTGATTCGGACAGCCAGCCAGTCTTATTATTGTTTTTTAACCAAGTCTGAAGGGAGCCCAGCTCCTCATGGATGCTATTAAATGATGGATTACCCATTTCCCAGAAGAGGTATGGGCTGGAGATGTCAGGCAAAAATAATATTTTAGACCAGCTGGTGGCCAGTTGCCCCTTGTGTGAAATAGTCCCGGGGAATTTTTTAATTGCCTGAATGGAGAATTCTGGATGAGAGGAGTTTTTCAACTGCCACAGCAGAAGCCATAATCTTGGAGCACCTTAAAACCTAGGGCAGAATCTCTCTCTCTCTCTCCAAACATACAGTAAAGGGATGTTGTCTGATTCAGATTAATTAGACAGGCAGAGGAAACTTTCCACCACTTCTGATCATGAGATGACCCTACTTTGTACATTAGTTGACCCTTCCAACTTTACGGTGGTGTGTTCGGCATTCAGCAACGGCAAAAAATGAAGGCACTGACAATGTGAATTTAGAACAGCGTCTCGAAAGGGTGTGGCAGGGGAGGCTCCCAGGAGACACACATATCAAATGGAGATGTATTAATAACTTGCTTACAGCCCCATGATGACTCAGACACATTTATTTCTAAAGTTACAGGCTCCCAAAAAGACTGTAAGCTGACATGCCCCTTCCATGTTGAAGAAGGATGTGGATTAGGTTTTGCTTGCCAAGGATAGCTCAGGATTTTTATATAACTGTTTTGGAAAGAATTTACAAGGCTGGCTTGCACCTTCTGGGTTCAGTTTTAGTCGAGGTTTCCTGCAGTTCCTTTAGAACATATATGAAGAAAAAGTAATATTTGGGGTCAGGATTCAAGGATAGGAGTAGAGCTGAGCCTGCCCTACTTCACAGGATTCTTGAGAGGATAAAAAAGATTAACTCCCTGGAATGATGGTGGGAAACAAGTATGATAAAGCAAATAAAGTATGCGCGATTTCAGCTACCAAAATAATCCATTTAAAAGATCTCCGCTTTCCCCACGTTGCAGCAAATGTTATCACCATTGTACAGAGGCCCCTGGATTTGATTTGCTGAGTATCTACTGGGGAATATTAATGGTCTAAACCTTGTAGACAATAAGGTATCTGTCATATCTCTGAGCCAGGCCCTTATCCCTGTTTTCTGTTTCCATCCTGCATGACCCCAGAAGAATGTGCAACATGATAGCCTGGGAAGAAGAAAAAAGCAAGGGCTATCACACTGGCTTCTTTTGGCGGCTATTCAGCAATGATAGGGAGTCAGGCTCGCCTTATGTAAAGGGCGATAAAAAAGCAGTGAGCTACTTGAGCGAAAGCTCTAAGTGACAAAAAGGACATGTGCTTGCAGGAAGCAGATGTGCAGATAATCAGCCTTTTCACCTTCACAACCTTTTCATTCCAGAAGCCCACAAGGAAAGGGTTCTGCATCCATGCAAATGGCAGGTGACAAATATTATTACCATTTTAATTGCCACAGCTATCAAAGAATTCTGGAAACCATAGTTTGGTGAGGTGCTATGAAATCACCCTTAGAGTCCTCAGCCCTGGTCTGTTCCCCAAAGCACAGTCCTTTGCGGTTGCTAGACAGGAGGGATGTTCAAACCACTTTATGAAGTGGCATTCCACACAGAAGCTCTGGTGCTTCTAATTATTTTGGGCTTTTCCTTTTTCTTTTTAGACCTACAGAAATGACCATCCAAACACTGACACATCTCCTGCCACTAATTAAGGATCAGCCAGATGCAACATGTTGGGATCCGCAATCACCAAGGTCACACTGAGAGGTTTTAACGTCAGCCCCTGCCCAGCTCTGGAGTTCTTCTGCCCTGAACACTTCCCAAAACTAAGATCAGGCATCTCCCAGAGGAATTATGTACCGAAGTTTTATCTAGCTGGATATTTTTAAAGGATGGGGCTAGGTCACTTTATCCTACCACTTGCTATGGAAGTTATCACTGTTATCCAGATTTAGTATGTTTGTCTGCTCAAGACCAATCAACGAGAGAATGTTGGCTTAGCCCAGGTAGATCAAATTCATATTCCTGGTCATTCCTGGATAACCTTCAATCTTACGGTACCTTGAAGATTAGCAATTTATTATGGCATCAGGCTATATCTGATGAAGAAGACTCCAGTCTTCAAAAACTTTTGCTATTAAAAGGATGGTTAAAGGTACCACAAGAATCTTTGTTTCTGCTGCAACAGACTCACACGGTCACCCCTCTGGGGTGGGTCACTCATCTCAGCTAGCCTGATCTACCTCAGAAGGTTGTTATGCACATAAAATATGACCCTGTGTGCACTACCCAGAAACTCTGCAGCCAATCAGATTTTAGTTAACAAAATAATCTCTGTAAAAGCTGTCTCCTATCCCAATGCTGTAGTGAACACCACTCTGGTTTGATCAAATTATGATGATGTTGATTATGATTATTAGTATTATGAATTTCATTTCTATACAGCCGGTAGACAAAGCTCTCTGGGCACTTCACAACACAGTAAATAAAACATTTAAAACATTTAAAAATTAATTAAAATTGCATTAAAATACATGAAAAACATATTAAAGACAATGAAAAGACTCGGCCAAGAAGGAAGGGAAAAGGCAGCCACCAGGGTTTCCTGTAGATGTTAAATAGCATGGAGACAATAAGGGACACCTGAGGAACTCCATGCTAGAGTTTTATTGCATTTAATGTGTTTTTCATGTATTTTAACGTATCTTAAACATATACTTGCCACCGGCCAGAAATCGTTCAAATTGCCTGGGTCAAGGGAGTGTTTCTTAAGAAGTGGTCCCCCCACCACCTCTTCAAGGCAGCGTGGGACCACTCCCTCTTGCAAAGACTTCCCTGTCCCAGATGGTTACCCCTTCCTTGCTGGTTTGATGAACCAGGTGAGGGAAGGATCCAGCCCAGAGGTGATTGCACAAACCTGTCCAAAGACTTTGTCAACTTCCTCCAGCTGTGACAACTGCAACTCACCCAATAAAACTGGGCCAGACTGTGCTCTGGGTATCCCCACCAATTCCACCATTGTAACTCTGGGGTCCAGGTCTGAGTATCAAGCACACAGGCCATTTCTACATTCCACAGAGTGACCAGGGCTTTGACAGGAGCACCAGTTAAGTCAGCTGGAAAACCACCCAGAGCCCTCAGGAAGACATCTGGGTCCATTAGTTTCTGGGGACAGACCAGTTTAATGGGTCCTCCACCCTTGCAAAAGAGAAAAGCTCCCAGAGTCAGAATCAGAACAGGCGGTGATCTGATCACAACAAAGGAACTGAGTCGAAGTCCTTCACGCTCAGAACACTATCCTCATGTTCAGTGAGGAAGACCAAGTGCAAGGTATGCTCTGCCACACGCATCGGAACCGTGACATGTTGGAACAGTCCCATGGTTGTCTTGGCAGCCATGGAATCCTGAGCTGATGCATGGAGGATACATCCCCTCAGCGTGAATGTTGAGATCCCCAGGATCAGCAGCCCGGGGGCTCCAGCAGAACATGCAAGGCCACCTCTGCCAGCTGAGGTAGGGAGACCAACGGAGTGTGGGCAATGCACCCAATCTGCCCTGCTGGCCCAGCACAAGGCTCAAACACTCCGGAGTAGCCATCAAACAGACCGTAGGCCTGGAGAGAGACATTAAAGTCTCATGGACACAGCAACGTCCCCTCCCCAGCCCTTATGTCTATGCTGATGCCGCAGCAAGCACCCCAGTGGGCATAACTGGGAGAGACAAAATCCTCCCTTTTCTCCCACCCAGGTCTCAGCTGTACATGCCAGACGGGCTGCATCGAGGGAGGTTTTATTTGGCACCCATCTGGCATTCAAGAGCAGCATCACTGGAGGGCAGGTTGACATGGCGACAGTAAGACCCACGGGTGGTGGGAGGGCCAGAACACGGCACAGCCATTGGCTGTCTAGACTGCATTCCCACCACCTGGCCAGCCCTTCCTTCAGTGCCACACCTCCCGTTACCTGCCCCTATGCTAACTGGGCCTCCCACCATCTCTCCACTTGGGACCATCAACACCTTCTCAGCTACAAACCCAGGCATGAGCCCACAAAGGCAGAGTGGCAGTGAGGGAGAAGCAGAAAAACAACCCACCCTGATGGCAGCCCAAAGGGGCATCCCAACGGGGGGCATCCCCTTCTGGAGTCGGCACCTTCAGCATGGGCACCTCTGGTGGGGCAGCACATCAGTGGTGACCCACCAGCAGCAGCAGGGACATCTTTAGGCAGCGGTGGTGGCTGCAGGATGGCTCGGCCAGGTGTAGGCCCGGACGAATGCTGGGAGGTGAGGGAGGACACGTGGAGCAACAGGTCTAAACTTGCTAGGCAGTGGTCTTCTTCTCCACCCGTCCCCACGCCTCCTCCCCAGTCCCAGTCCTGAAGTGCAGAAGGTCCTGGTCTTCTAATATGAATCTTCACAGGTGGCATGGTCCTTTAATTCAGTGGTTTAGCTCCCTAAACTAAATTCCCAGTACCTTACCCATATTGTCCCATCTATATTCTGCCTTGCTTGTTTTGGGCCTCTTATATTTCTTGTATCGATCATAAAGATTCTTGTGGCATCTTAAGGACCAACCAATGCGCAATACACTTGAGTAGACTGGTATCTACTCCATCAAATACGTCTAATCAATTGTATTTGCTACTAACATCTCCTTTGTAGGGCATACCTTTTAAAACTAAGCACCTGCTTCATAAAGAATTACAGAAGCGACAGACTCTTCCTTTCCTTCTCAACCAATATGCTTGTGGGACTTCTAACTATTGACAGAACACTCGAGAGAAATAAGTAAATCATAAACACCATCTCTGCTATGTGACTGAGCAATGCCAGCCTTCATTTTCCGACTTGGTGCATTATCTGAGGCACAACTAAGGAAATGAAAGAGAGAAATGCATTTATCTAGATGATGTTGCGAACATATTAGGGAACAGGGGCATATATGGAAGAAGCCTCATGTGTTAGCCTTTCACTCATGAATGACAACTTCAAGATGAGATTATACTCACAAGAGGACTACCAAACCACCATGTCCCAGCCAAGCCTTGTTATCCAGATCCCCTGGTGATATCCGGTTATATAAATACCTAAAGACATGAGTGGGGTGGGGACCAAAGAGCTGCATATCCAAAATCCTCTACAAAATTCTCCCACCCCTGGCCATATGGAGCAGATACCTTCGGCTGCATTTGGAAGGAATCACTCTTTCCCCCACACTGGGTATCTACACCTCTCAGCAAAGTTCTGAGCTACCTCTGTGTGCTACCTCTGTGCAGCACTTTCAGGGGGCTGGAAGGGCTGCGATGCAGAGAAGGAGTTTCCCCGGCCCAGTGCATAAATTCCAATCTAAATCATAGGTTCAGACCACATATTCCGACAAGCTGAACCAAGATGGACTTTGGGATAGCTCTCTTCTTTCCAGACGTTACCAGTTGACCAGCCATATGTCATCTCCACTGCTGGGATCAGCAAGCAGTGAATCCTAGAAATTAGCCCTCTCTAAAAAAAAGGAACTGACCAGGTATGGCCAATTTATAAACATGCCAATGCATGCGGATGGGTGGGAGGGAGGGAGGGAGAGACTACAAAAGATTTGTGAAGGTTAATATCGCCTAGTTCTACTTGGTAATCAGCCGGACAAGAGAAACTAGAGTCCAGGATGTGTTCTCCTAGGTATTATACAAAAAACAAATATGCGCGCATGCACACACACACACACACACAGACACACACACAGAGCCTGGATAATATTCTAATAATTCCAGCATTAAAAGCTGATTACTGGTGTCAAATCTGGGATTAATCAAACTTCTTCTGGGAAGGCCCTGCTCTGTTTCTATGTTTCTAACATTTCATCATCACTAATTTATTTATTTATGTAGCAATGTCACTCATATGTCCATAGTCTCTGCCCTGAGGCATTTGAAATTCTGCCTGCTCTATGCAAAATTTGATTTCAGTACACAGCTGACACCCTCTTTCGAATTTTCCTGTTTTTGACCTTATAAGTTTCTCTTCAGCTGAGCTTCTTTCTGACGAGCAAAGGTGCTATTTCAGGTACAGCATGCCATTTTTCCGAGTAGACACATATCGGACTGGGGTGTTAATTGCCAAAAAGTGGTGTATTTCAACAGCCTTTGTTGTGCTTCATCTTTAACATTGTGCAATAGTTAGAGACAGTCTTCACGAATAATCATTTGCAGCCCGCACAGGAAAGTGGAAAGAGGCATTTTCCATTACTCTGCTTTACCAAAATAATAGTATTTCTGTCAAGAGTAAAAGTGTCTTCCCATTCCCAAGATTTTATTAGCCAAATTTACTTCCAGTCTAACTCCACAGAGGCCAGCAGAGTTATTCTCGGGATGGGTCTGATCTCCCTATTTTTTACACTCTGCTCAATTTGGAAAATGCTTGCCTGACCTTTGCTGTACTGCTATAAACAGACTTCGTCTGTCAGCACCAGTCAGTGAGATCCCACATAAAACAGAACTCAAAGGCCCTGCAAAGCAATTCCAGGAGAGTCTCTTGAAGGATTGCCAACAATAGCAGCATCCTGTAACCCCTGCAGCCCGTGTACTTGATAAGCGATAAAAAAGAGCGGGCACCAGGGGCTGTGCGAGGATAAGCCATTCCGATTTGGTGGTCAGGAACCTCTGGACAAGGTCGCGAAGCCTGCCTTTTTAAGCTCGGGGACTTTGCCACTGTAGGAGTGGCGACTCTTTTCTCACTTTTTTCTCTGACAACCCCCGCCCCCCATTCTGCCTAGAGAAACAGAGCTGGCTTGGTTTTCCTCGGATATAAAGTTGTGCTATCCTTCTCATAGGAGACTGCAGGTGGCGCAGTGGTTTGAACCACTGTGCTGCTGGGCTGGTTGATCGAAAGGTCGCTGGTTCGAATCCGCACAGGGGGTGAGGTCCCGTTGCTCCGTCCCAGCTCCTGCCAACCTTGCAGTTCGAAAGCATGCAAATGCAAGTAGATAAAAAGGCACCACTTTGGTGGGCAGGTAACAGTGTTCCGTGCACTTGGGTGTTTAGCCATGCCGGCCACATGGCCACGGAGACTGTCTGCGGACACACGCTGGCTCCCTTGGCCAGGAAACGGAGATGAGCAGCGCCCCCTAGAGTCAGGCATGACTGGACTTCACGTCAAGGGGAAACCTTCACCTTTTATCCTTCTCATGTGGAAGTGTTCTAAGTGTATTAAGATGCAACCTCTGGCTGAAAGAAATGTATGCAATTGCTTTTGCTTACGGTCATGTCTTTTTCTACTTGCTTCTCTGCGATCCCACCTGGGCCACAATACTGGACAAAGAGCCACAATCAACCACAATCAACCCATGCGGTGTGGTCAGCATCTGGGGCCTTCCTCTGGGTGTCGCCTCCAGAGGAGGCTTGGAGAACGGCAACGGATGGGGCGAGGGGAGAGCCTTCCTGGATGTGGCTCCTCAAGTGTGGATCCAGCTCATCACCGAAGCCTGCCTGGCTCCACTTTGCCATCCTTAAGGCAGCGCTCTGCGCTTAAGCATTTGAGGATATTTAAAGTTACTTGATGGTTTGAGGAGGGTGACCAAGTTTTTAATGGATCTATTCTGTATTATATACTGATCTAGTTGTTTGCCGTTTTAAATTTTTAAGCTGTTGCTAAATTTTGCCTTATGGAAATTTTATGAGGCTTTTACGCTAGCATGGACCTCCTTAGGAATTATTCTAAATTACGCAGCGAGCTTTAGTTGTTGAGCAGTATAGAAGTTCAATCCCTCCCTGCCTCCCTCCCTTTGCCCTCCCTACTGACAACCTTCAGGATGCAAACACCAGCCTGCTCTACATGAAGCATTTCTCCCACTGCTTTTCAGAGGCTGCTTCTTCCCTTTTCTTTGCAGAAGTAAGACTGTGGCCGAGTTCACACAACACGGCAAATAACCACGTGCTGTTTCCATGGCCAGACTTACTGGCCATTGGATAATGTGGTTACCCATGCAGCCCAGTTTCTATGCCCTCCACTCTGTCCTCTTGACCTCATCATGGGAGCTTCCACAAATGAAATTCCCATCCTTTCCCTATTCTTGCCTGTGGACTGCAGCAGCCTCTTCCAGATTGGTCTGCTGAAGTCCAGAGTTGGGATCCTCTCCTCTCTGGCCACTGCATCTGATCAAATGAAAATAAACAGCTCCATCATGATTCCCCTCTTCTCTCTATGCTGAGCCTTTTTTGACGGCGGCACTCTTCTCCCTATGTGTACTTTCCCTTTTCTCCTCTTCCTGATGGTAAGTAAGATGGCGGATGGACAAGGCTGCTTCTTCCCTTTTCTCCTCCTCCAAAAGTAAGATGGCGGATGGACACATCACTTGGCCAATAGGAAGAAGGTGAGCAAGGATGCAAATGAGGTGAGCCAGGGAGCTGAGGGCAGATGAGCCTGAATGCTAGAAGTGCCCACTTCCATGAATGCTCTTGCCAGGCCCCTCTATGGTGCCTCCATACCAACAATGGTAAAATGGAGATCCTGAGTTTGGACAACCAGAGAAGCCATGGTGAAGCTTGGAAATCTTGGAACAGACTCTAGAATCTTTTGGTGGTTTCAGAAAACTAATCCTAGCATGCAGGAGCTCCAGAACTGTGTCTGGACAACAGCCCCATCATGCTAAGATTTCATCATGGCATGCCTTGTCATGTGAAACTGCCCTGTCTCTGTTACATGTGGGTTTTTTCCAGGTTTTCTCTTCATTCTATCTTTTTATCTTTTCCATTCCACAAGCACAAGGTGGCGCTGTGGTATAGCAGAACTGTGAATTTAAAGAGGCCATGAAATTCAAATTTAATTTACATTTAAACACTGTTTTATTGCAAGATAAGGGAATAATAGCTCATTATCCTTGCACTAAAAATGCCATGAAAATAGCTGCCAAACATGGGAGAGGCCCGAAAGAATGGTGTAAAAGACCCAGAAGATGTGCTGCATGTAGGGAAGCCCAATAACTCAGCCCGTCTGCTTCTGCAATAAATTCCTTGCGGAGCCACTGTGACGTGGTGGTCAGAGTGTTGGACTGGGGACCTGAGAGATCCGGGTTCTAATCCCCACTCAGCCATGGAGCCAACTGGGTGACTTTGAGCCAGTCACTCACTCTCAGCCCAGCCTACCTCACAGGGCTGTTGTGGGGATAAAATGGAACTATATAAGTCACCTTGTGTTCCTTGCAAGAGGAAAAGGGTGGAAATAGCACATCACAGACAGTGATAGTGCTGTGGTATAAAGAAGTAAGAAGCAACAGTAACAACAATGGCATCTTCAAGGACTTATCTCCTTGGAGAAAATGTAATTATTTCCTTACTTCCACAGTTATGTCCACTTTTTCTTTACAAAATCAGTTCAAGGTCCCATTACAGACATTTTTTATGTAAATTTCTCACCCCATCACAATATGCAACATATAAAAACAACTGCCATAAAAATAAAACAACAAATGAACAAGGATTCACTCAAAAACCTGGGCAAAGAGGAGTTTTTTGGGGTTTTTTTGCAGAAATCAGGATGAGCATCAGGCATATGTGGTTGGGAAGAGCATCCCTTAACTGAGGTTCCACAACTGAGAAAGTCCTTTTTCTCATAGCCACACGCTTCATCTCGATCAAGGGGGCACTCAGAGAAGGAAAGCCAGCGCACAGGAAGACTGCTATTGGAGAAAGCCTTCCTCAGAGTACCTCCACTCTGAGCTCTCAGTACCTACCAACAGTTTGAACTGGACTTGGGAGCAACCAGGAAACTCCAAGGCAAATTCTGGACAGTCCTCTTTCTATTTATTGTTTTCCTTCTTTGTATTCTGGGGGAGTATTTTCCTCCTGCCTCTTGGGAAATCGGAACTAGTTTCTTCCTTTCTCACTCTCAAGGGCGACCATCTCTCTCAGAAAGAAAAGTGCACCTGTTGACTCATTGTAATGCTGGCAACTGTAATTGGCCATAGCACGGCAATGAGACTTCCCTCAATACAAAACCGGGCAAAAGGCAAGATTTCCAGCTAGTATGAACCCCGTATTCATGCCACATCTGCAGCAAGGAAGATGAGCAACAGCCTAGATCATACACAAAAGTTTATCTATCACAGCAGCAATTACAAAGAGCCCCTTCCACTACTGTTGCAAAGCTTCGACCAGTGACCCTGTCCTGGGCTGGAAATGACCAGTATAGCTGGACTGTCAATGAAGTTCTCATAAGCCTTTAGTTTGGAAGGCACAATCTGAATGCAGTCAACGCTGGAGGTGGCTGAAGCTCAGTCTTGTCCTGCTTATGAACTATTTTTTGCTCATCTTTAGGCCCATTTAGAGGTTACATCAACAACATGACTTATAGCCACACTGGGAAATGGAGTTCTCCTACATGTGCAGTGGAAATTACTCTGCTTCTTCTCCTGCTCCAACACAACCTAGGACTTGAAAACTTCATAGGCAAGCAAATTCTAATTCCCATTTAAACTGCTGCAGCTACTGTTACAAGTTGGCCGAGTCTCTCTCTCTCCCCCACCCCCGAAAATGCCCCTCGAACCATTTTTGCTGCAGTTTTCCCCAAAGGGATGTGGTACCTCTGCTGGGTGGGAATAAAATGCCAGTTTGCAAATGTAGCAGAAATTATGAAGGCTTTTTTTTTGCAAACAATACTAATTCAAGTGTTCAAGTGGATAGGGAGCAGCTTACACCTTTGAAAATCCCCCCTCTTTGCAGATATAAAATTGACTTGTCAGGAATCAGGGTTCAAACTAATTTTACTGAGCAGCAGAGAAAAAAGCAAGTGAAATTCTTCCATGCCTACAATCCGGAACGTTATTGCTGGTGTTGTTTCATCCTTTCTGTCATACACTGAAGATGAATTGCAATTCAGTGAAACATTTTCTACTCATTAGACATAAGATGAATAAACAAGCTCATTGTGGTCATTATGATTTAGGCTGGGTGTTCCATATTTCTCATTTAAGCCTCTTCAAGAATACCCAACACTATGAAACAGAACCATGACCTGAAAATACAGCAAACACATTTAACGTCAACACAATGCCCTTTGCATCCTCCACTTAATTGCAAGTTTGCTATCTTTCCAAACAAAGCTGCTTTTCCCTCATCTCAAATTCCAGCCTTGTGATTCTGCAATAATAAATCAATGCGCTTTCAGAGGTATTTTATTGCAATGTGTATGAGAAAGTATGTTTAGACTTCCTGGCCTTCTCATCACCGAGTCAGCCCATTTATCCATTCCAGGTCAAATCAGGAAAAAATAATAATGCGCCAGACTGCGTGCAAGTGTAATGGAGTAAGAATCTGAACTGTTTATTAAAGCTTTGTTTTTGCACATGAATTTGGACTGAGATGGGACAATAGCTCATTTGAAAGACCTCTCCCTGTTTTGTCATTTGATACGTCCCCTTTCCAGGCACCATGGCTCCTCCGATCCCATTTCTTCATTCTGAAAAGCGGTACAGATAAGAACGCGCCTATGTCTTCCGAGTGCCTTCGCCAATACGCTCCCTGCCATCCCCTGCCATCCCCTGCACAGCATTCCATGTGGACGCTGCACAAACATGGGTGGAGCCTCTTCTGTGGTCATTCCACCAGCGAGAAGGTGCTTCCCGGTGGGACCCACTTGACCCCCGACTGATCTTGTCTTCACTTGATAGCAGAACATTTTTAATTAGGAAGATCTTCCTTGGATACTGAATTGATGGACATGTGGCTGAGGCTTTAATCCTGCTGCTCCTGGGTATTAAAATGCATGTCCAATTTGATTATCTCTTTCAGTAATTATTATTCTTTATGTAACAGGGATTGCTTTAATTATAGCTATCATCTATTAGTTAATGTCATACCCTGTGGCTAAAGTGAGACTTGTGTTTCTAAAATAAAACAAAACCATAGCCAGTGGCCCAGTTGCTGCGTCCCATGGCTCCATCTCACACTGTTTTGATCGAGTAAATTGAGCTTACCTGAGAGAAGCCAGTGTGGCTTCCGTTCCTCGGAGACCTCATATTTTACATGGGACCAATGTGGTGTAGTGGTCAATGCATCAAACCAGGGCTGGTCAGGCCCAGGTTCAATTCCCCTCTGCACTGTGACCCTGCACCATTATTTGGGTGACCTCACACCTGCCTGGGGCTGTTAAAGAATCAGCTGGGCAGTGGAGGAACAATGGATGCTGCCTTGAGCAGCTTGGGTGCGATGCATCAGCTAAGTGCCCCATTCAGCCCACAGCCTAATTGCAAAAGCCCTCTGTATGCTATCTGAGCAATGGCAGGACTGATTTGCCCTTGTCCTGGCAGTCCCCTGCCTTGCGAGGGAGAGGGAGAGGGGGAGAGGGAGAAAGATAGAGAGAAAGGCTGAAAGAAATGGCAGAAAAAGTAGGAAAATCAGGCCTGGCCCATTTCAGGCTCTGGCCACATCCGCTGCTGGCTTTGGCTTTGCTCTCTGCCAAGATGTGGCCGCTGACAGATTACTCACAAGAGAATGTGGCCCTTGACAGAAAAGAGGTTGTCCAGCCCCCTATTTAAAGGAACGGCAAGACAGTGGTGTGGTAAATAGACAGACAATATGCTCCGATTAGGTCCTGCCTGTGAGTTTTGCTCCTCCAGACAACGCCACCCAGTTGTCTCATTGCCTCCATTACACACAGGATTCCTTTGAAGAACTCCTTCCTGCGATCTGACCTCAAAACCCACCTTTAAGGAAAACCCTTTGATGGAAACTAAGTTTAAGTATTACTATCACTCCAGCTCCCTGCAGATGCTTCGTAGTGGATTAGGAGATGCTGCTGAAAGGAGCGAGGGGGCTGCCTGAGGAAGGGGGGGGGTTCCCCGAAACTGGGCAGAGGGGCTCCATTGGCAGAAGGTATTTCCTTTGCTTAGTAAAGCGCTAAGTGCAGTAATGGCACTCTGTGATAAATAATAATGAAAATGGGCTACCATCCACCCAAGCTTCAAGTCAAGAGTTAATAGTAGTATACCTTTTCCTGGTTAAATTCAGTAACAGAAGTCCAAAGGCTGTGTTATACCTGCCACATTTAAAACCAATGCTAGTATATTTTGGTTGTTCTGGAATGGACCAAGAAGTTTTCTAACCTTGCTTGAGTCACTCCACAATCTAAACCTCTCACCCTGCAACCCACGCAGAAAAAAATATTAGGAAGCAAAGCTGTAAAGTTCAATTCATGGAAATGTCATTCTGATTGCTATGTATTTTTTCTAAATGACAAGTACTATAATTTCAATCCTGTTTTGTACTTTCCTGTTTCTGAGGTCTCATTTGAATACAGTTCTGTTGATCTCTTGCTACACTTAACATAATTGACAGGACTGCTCTAGCTGCATCCTAGGGAATTATTTGATATTCGTTTCAGTTTTCCAAATGCAGAGAGTGTTCTGCAGAGCATCAGATGAAACTGACTGAAAGAATTCAGTCTAAAAGGAGATAAGCTGTAAAAGCAGCTAGGTCTGAAAAGGTTTGCACACAATTTTCATGTCCTGAATAATACAAGCAACACATGAAGGATCACCAGGATCATATCAACCTGCTTGGCCTCATGTATGCACATCAGAAGGGCTTTTGCCCCCCCCCCCCCCCGCAAGAGCTATCATTTGCAATTCTGCAACACCTAGGAGGAGCTGAGAAAAGGTCAGCAACTTGCAAGTAGATGCAAGGAGGAAGCACAACCTCAAAGGATTCCTTTACTGTAAACACCACTTGTAAAATAAGGCCCACCTGCCTGGGCTAAAAGAGAACCATTGTTTCTCATCAGCTCATTCTCTCCATTCACAGAGCTTTACAGAAATGTTATTCTCTCCACGATCCCCTTATTCTTATTATTCCTCTGACTTGATGAGCCAGTGACCTCATTCTGTTGCATGATAGCCTGGCACCACCATATGGGTGCACTGGCAAACGCCAGGGCGCCATCTGTAGGGGTCCAAAACCAGGCCATCAGCAAATGTTCTTGCTGTTACTCACTGTAAGTTCTGATTCTGGGGCAAGGAGAGTAAAAATCAAAAACAAATGATCACAGTTGCCCTACTTTTGTGTTACTAGTCTTGCCTTTTCATACCCAAAATACGCTGCAGTCAGAGCTTCTGGCAGGTTGCATTTTGGAAAAATAAAGACAGGAGGTTACTGTGCTATTTTCCTCAAAGTATCCTCAGACATCTGGAATGATCTTCATTCTCTAATCCAAGCAAAAATGAGCCAGGATTTGAAATCAAGGTCAAAACATGGGTTTTTGATAAAGAATTGGTTAAAATGAATCATGCTTGGGATCAGTTCTGACCAGGCTAAGGACTGTGCAGAATTCAGGGCCACGGCGTGGAGGTGCCATCCCATCGGCAGATCCCCAAGCGCACATGTTACCTGAGCACCAGACAATCATGCAGGTCTTACTGCCTTGTGGCAAATTCAACATTTTCAATGGGTTTCTCTAAATTGCGAATACCACGTCTTTTACCAGGCACGGGGGAAGGCATTGAGTTGATGCAGGCATCCCGGTTAAAATGACATCATATGATAATTTCATGAAAACCTTAAGAATGATTTTTATCTGATATACATGTATGCTAACTACTGTACCAAGTTTGGGTACCTAAATTTTAGTTATTCTGCCTTTCATAATGGGAAAAAAAATGTGACTTGGCCTGATTTGAGGTATTTTAAACATAATTTCCATTTAAAAATTCAGCAGGCCTTTGCATTAAGGTACTTTTCTATTTTGAAAATATAACCCCTCATTTCATTTCCACATGCTGAAAATAGGATTCCTTTAATGATTAAGAGGCAGAAAAGTCAGGTAATGCACAAAATTAAATATAACTGCCTGTGCTGATGTGTAAGCTGAGGAACAACCATTTTACTTCATTTATTTTATTTTTGTAACTCCCAATACTCAAAGCTCTTCAGATGGTTCATAAAAATTACAACCCACAAATCAAATACAAAATGATAATAATGTAAAATGAAATCTGTAACAGACAATTTTTTAAATGGTGACAGTAAAATGATGGGTCCACATAAAACAACTGACATCAATGACCCATCATTTTCGTTTAGGACATTTTAAACTGAATCATTTCAGCACCACCATTTCCAGCTTACAGTTAAGGGGAAATGTATAATTCTGCCACAAGCGCCACTGCCACAGAGGGTAGATTTGAAATTTAACCTTGTCCCAGGGATGTCTAACCTCCCACTCCAGGTTAGGACACAACAACCCAGAGGAACTGTGTGCGGGAGGAATGTTCCCATTACAGCTGGCAGACGTGCACCTGTTGAGGGGATAAATAAAGCAGCCCTTTTCTAGCTTGGCTTCCGTTCACTGCCAGTCCCTCGAGACTCAGGGGAATGGATACTGCATCTTCTCCACAGCCTGTCCAAGTGGAAACATGCCTCAAGTGTCAGGGAAGCGGCAGATGCTCCTGCTCGCAAACGGTCCTGTTCAGACCCCGAGAGGTGACCGACTTCACTCCTAATGCATTCTTCCTTTGTCGAACATGAGCATCGCTCTTCAAATGTAGAAGCCCAGGTAGGGGCGCTGTCCGTTTTTCTGGCCCTGCTCCTGGATGTGCAGCAGCAGCTCAACACACAAACATTTAGCAAGGGAAGGCTCTCCTGGCCCGAAGTGGCAGATTACGTACATTCCAACTGAGCACAGGCAGTGCCACCTTTCGGGGACATATTCTGAGCAATCCACTATCCCCCTTTGCTCTTTGGGAGTATTTCTTTAAAGAAAATGAGCTGCTAGAGTTTGCGATGCTTTCGAGTTTGGCTCTTGCACTAGTTCAGGGGCCCCAAGAAGCGAAGGTGCAGTTTGATGCATATTTAGACAGAAAAAGCCCTACAACTCCTAGCGTGCCTCAGCCAGCATCTGCCTGGTCTTGGGTACCACATGCCTTAGCTTGGTGGAGAGGCACACGTGTCTTTGGCTCCTCCACGTCAGGCTGCAAAAAGGCCTAAAGGATGATGCTCAGCATCCTTTAGCAAGTGATTCTCCAACTGAGGATGGTGAACAACTTCCCATTAAGTGATAATGGACTTCCAGGTCTTATCAGGTCTTTATTTTTCACCCCTGAACCAGGAATTTTCTTCATAGAATCTTCAGTAATGCATAACTAGAAGAGGCAAAGATTCTGGTTTGAGATGTGTAAGGAATCCAAAAGGGGGGGGGGGGGGGGGTCTGCCAGTTTTTCTTGATTCTGCCCTGTGGATTCTGTTCCATAAACTGTCTGCTGGCAGCTTCTCATTCTGATGCAAGTCAAGCCAACATGCAGGTGTCTGTTTTTTTAAATGGGCTTTGATTTCACAGCCAGCAACATTTGTAAAACGTTTGGGTCACTATTCTGCAAATTGCATAAATTTGCACAAATCACAGATGGAGGCATGGCGTTTTGCACAAATATGAAACTGTCAGAAAATGCAAGGTAGTCAAGATGCTTCCATCCTTCTCACGTTAAATGTCACAGCAAGAGCAAGAACTCAAACCTAACAAATTTCCAATTTGCACAAACGTGTGCATGCAATTTACAAAAATTGTGCTAGAAATCCACAGTTCCTAGCTCCTGCAAAAATAGTTTCAGCAATTATGTGGAGGTTAAACACCCTGACTTGGCTTTCTTTGCCTATTAGGTAAGAAATGTGTCAAAACTTTGTTAAGCTTATAGTGCCGCACACCCATAGTTCAGGCCCTGTTCTTTGAGTGTTAAAAAAGGAAGCGTAAGGAACGCAGAAAAGCACCCCTACTTTCTTCTGTGAAATATATGAGAGGATGTGACATGTGAAGACATAGTTGTAGAGCCTGGGCCAGTGGCAGGTAATATACCCCTAAACCTGAAGCTCACCAGACGAATTCCTGCAAATCCTCCAAACACATTGCGATTGTACAGCGCGGCAAAGGGGAATGTGCTGGCTCTGGCACCATTTCTCGGTTGTTCTGCCGATGGGTTTAGGTCAGGTGTGGCACCTACAAACGTTCATCGAGACTATAAATAAGGACTCTGGTCTGGGGTTCACAGCCCAGCTGCTTTCGCAGAGAAGCACCGCTTGCGAACAAGGGCGCCTCACCACAGGCCCACCAAGGTCTGTGCAACTGGACTGGAGAGAGAGGGGAGTTGCTGAAATTGTGCCAGTTATAGTAGCGAAAAATACAGTGTTTACAGAGGTGGCATGTCTGACAGAAGCCCACATCTCCACTGCCTCGCTTGGACCCCAGAGGTGGCCCCTGGGTATTCTTGGGGTACTTACCTCAGGGCCTCTGTTTAGCCCACTACTATGAACCAACTGCTTTCTAGTAACCTACTTTTAGCAAACACTTTCTACAGCAGCTTTCCTATCTGGTGCCCTCCAGATGTTGGATTACAATTCCCATCATCCCCAGACAGCTACAGTTTGACTGATGTGGAGGGCAGGGGTCCGAAAAGCCTTTTTATATGACCCGATCTGCTGCAGAATCATTCATCTGCCATGCAACCCCTCTGCTCCACTAAGGTTACACAGTTATGTTATATTTTTGGCATCCCAGAGGGGCAACCTTTTCGGAGGAAATCTGATAAGGCTACCCTATACCTGTTCAGACTGAGGAGAAATCCTCCTACTCACGCATGCTAGGAGTTATACAACTTTTTTTCCCGCCAAAACAGGCAAAAGATTTTGCCCTTCATTTCCTCTGGATGAATAAACCCCTAAAAATGAACAAAACTACTGAACTTTATCAGATTCCCCGAGAATAAGATGCATTCTGCCTCTGCATCTCTCTCTCTCTCTCTCTCTATTCAAATACATGCTCACATATGTTACATTATCATGTTTCTATCACACCTTTTCCTTCAAAGAGCTCAAATGGTCGCACATGGTCACCCCGTCCCTATTTTTGCCTAACGACACTGCAGGACTGAGAAATGCTGATTGACCAAAGATACCAATGAGCTTCCATGTTGAATTGCTCTGTTCCAGCCATTAACTGTAATCACTGTTACCTTCTGGAGAGATTCCAGCTCTTTAAGCCCTCCAGAAAGCCCTTCAGATAGAGCCTTCATCCTCTGTTAAGCAAAACCTGTACGTGAGAGAGTAAAACGTGTAACTGTATTTTATGACACACTTCCATTCACTTCTGGTACTCATCACGCCAGTTGGACAAGGAGCCAAGGACTCTTCTCCAGTTGAAGGGCTGCAAGATGAGCATCCTTTCTTTTGAAGATGCCCTCTATCTGAAGGACTGTCCAATCCAAGTCCAGTTTAAAGATAAAAGAACTATCAGAAGGGTCTTCTGACTGCCCTAGACATAAGACTCCACAAGGCATAGTGAGCACCTGATCAGAAGCTTCCATGCTCTGTTGAGTGTTCTGGATTTCTATATAAATTTGTACCATTCTAAATTTGCATCTATAAATATCAGTGAGAATATAAGCATTTTAGACCAATTGCTTTCCTCTTGTGGCCATCTGTGTAACCGAGAGCATATCTGATGGTTTCCGGTAGGTGCACATTATAGGAAAATGTCGCTGGTGCATAGAAAGGGTGTTTTTGATGTTCATCTCTCTTCACTGAGGCACTCTCCACTAGCTAAAGGGAAATGTCAGGGTATTCCACAAAAGAGCTTAAAAGTCAGTTCTACGAACGATGCTTTGTTGGGTTATTCCAGAACGGGCAGCCCATTTCAGTTTTATGACAACATGCATGTTAGATATTCTGGATTCCTTGCCTGACACATGGATTCCAGGGGTGTGAAGCAAGAACTACATTAGTTCCTGATGAAAATGCCTTCCTACATTACACGGGACTTTAAATATAGAACACCAGTCCATGGATGGGCTTGCACAAAGTGTACGTGCAGTGCAGGGCAGGTAAAGATTATATAGTCCTGCCCCATTGTCACTCTATGTGATGTGTGGGCACAAAGTGATTGGTGGCCATGCTGGCGGTGTATCAAAGGGCTATTAGGAGACTTGAGTCAACGGCACTTGAAAAGAAGGGATTTAAGTCCGTATTCAGGTCAGCAGCGGCGGCCAATCAGCGGCCGGGAAGCCAAAATAGCCAACAATTGGTATTTGCCCTCCAAACGCAGGAGGCGAGAGAAGGAATGGCAACGTTATTTCCACACCTATCAAGGCCTGTGGAAGGATTCTGGACAGAGCAGAAGAACGAGACCCAGATGAAGCGCTGCTTGCCTGGGAGCCCCAGGTAAGCTGTCAGTTGCTGAAGAATAGTTTCCCTGGGTGCCTGGCACCCGTTAAAGGGGGTGGGCTGGACTTCTAGGAGAGGAAAAGCCAGAACTCCTTAGCCCTTTGCGAGGTCCTTCATGGCCCACTTAACAATGTATGCTAGATGTATGAGTACAACTTTAAGTTTCTAGTGCTCAGCTATAAAGGGAACGGACTACAACTCCCAATCAGCACAAATAATGCTCATGTTTCTTGACAACAGGTTAAGACTTTTCTCTGCTCCCAGGCATCTGATAGAATAGGATAAGTTTTTTAATAGGTCCTGGGATTTCTTATTGTTGATTGTTAAAATTGTGTTCTATTGAATGGTTTTTATATCATGCTACCTTGTTATATTTAGTCTTTGGAAATCACCCGGAGAGCTTCGGATACTGAGTGGTACAGAAATGTAATAAATGAAAGACGGAACAGGAATTTCCAGGTAACTGAGCAGAATTGCGACTACAAGTTGTACAATTAAAAAAACAAGGATTTATTTCAATTGGATAAACCCTATTTAGCATTTGTCCATCCCTACCTGTTGCATAGAATTTTGACATTTCAACCATGCAGTGGGAAAGGTTCTTCCCCTTTCCCACAAGCAGGACAACAAATATGTCAAAAGGATTAACCTAGTAGTTTACAGTGGTCCTATGACCATTCCTACGGGCCAAAGCTAACCAGAAGGAATTCACTCAAATAATGCAGTCTTGGCTACTGAGTTTCTAATTGGTCTGGCAACATCTCTAAAGGGGTTCTGCTCACTAACAATGTTGTTGGAAGATTTCTGAAGGCTTGCGCTTTAAACAATTGTTTCCATAGACCTCAAATCTTCAAAAGCATAAAGCTGACTGTACCCAGAAGCATTGACTGAACCTTGTATGGAAAAGCCTAAATATTGAGTATTGATAGTAAGTTATAGAATCCACCACTGTAAACGGATCCTGACAAAGTTTGGGCCAAGGAGCACATGTATAGAGATGTGATTCTGCACAGGGAATCAGAATGAAGATCTATGAACACTACCTCCTTCCCTCCTGCAGATACGTCCATGGATTCCATATTCTTTACATGTATTAAATGCAGTAAATGTCTTATTTGCATGAATGATGGTGCAAATTTTGGCTTTTTGTATAATTGTTCTGAAAATCTGCAAGCTCGAGTCTTCCAAACCATACAGGAAACATTCTTGGTTAAGGAAAAATGGCACCTACACATTTCTTAATTCAGTTACTCTCATCCTTTCTCTGAGGAGCAGAAGAATCTGTACACAGCTCTACACCCATCTCCTATGTTATCCCTACAATAATCCCAGTTAGACTAAGAGGGAACAACTGGGACAAGACTTTATTTAGCTAGAAAGTTGTTTGAGAATACAAGATAACACACTGGAAGTGTTACATGCCTTCCAGCCACTTACAATGGCACTTGCCAGTTGCGTGCATCAAACTTACAAAACACCTTAATGTGATGCCAGAACCAATTGTCCCGCTAATCCAGTCCTGTCTTCATTGCAAGTAACTTTCCAAGGACTCCAGGTCTTGCCATTTGAGATCTTCTAACTCAAAGCCAGGTACACTGTGACTCCCAGCAGTCCCAGGCAGCATAGCCAATGGTGAGAGATTATGGGCAACAATCAGGTCATAAATTGTCCACTCCTGCTCAGAGTAGGTATAAAAAAAGGTAAAGGTTTCCCCTTGATGTTAAGTCCATTCATGCCTGACTCTAGGGGGTGGTGCTCATCTCCGTTTCCTGGCCAAGGGAGCCAGCGTGTGTCCGCAGACAGTCTCCGTAGCCATGTGGCCAGCATGACTAAACACCCAAGTGCACGGAACGCTGTTACCTGCCCACCGAAGTGGTGCCTTTTCATCTACTTGCATTTGCATGCTTTCGAACTGCAAGGTTGGCAGGAGCTGGGACGGAGCAACGGGAACTCACCCCATTGTGCAGATTCGAACCGGTGACCTTTCGATCAACCAGCCCAGCAGCACAGCGGTTTAAACCACTGCGCCACCTGCAGTCCCTCAGCTTAGGTATATTGGGAGTCTAATCTGGGATATGTCCAATGTTGCCACTTAAACCTTCCTGGAAGTGCCCCTACTCTTACCTGGCTAGCATAAGTTCTATTGGTTTATATGATGCTTGTGAGCTCCCAACAGGCCAAATACAATGAAGTGGGAAGCCTTGAGTCTTTGCCATGGCTTGACCCTACAGCCTGCTCCTACTTGGTGCGTACAATAGAACTCTAAAGGAAGAAACTCTGTGAAAGCAAAGTGAAATATTTGTGCTTATGGCAGCAGCCAGAAAATGAAAGCAAACATGATTATTGGCAAAGTCTGGCATGCAAAGAGCAATTCTTTCATAATTTTCATTATTATTATATAATGGCAATTTCTGGATGTTGACAGAGAATGTAAGTTATGGAAAGCAAAAAAGATCACTCGTGACAATCAAAGAGACTGGAGAAAAATAGCTTTGACTTAATCTAATGTCTTGAAAGTAGCACAGGAGTTTCTGGAAGATGAGAAATCTAGACCAGAATTTATTACAGTTGCTCTTATCCTTTGCAAGCACAGAAGAAAAGCGGGAAAGGATGCATTTTTCACATGACAATATAGCAGGGGGAAGGGGGCAAATCACTTCCAGATCCTGAACACACAAATTGTATGAATTTGTCACTCCACACTCGCTTGCCAGCAGCTTCGCATGCCAGACAAAAACTCTACCCCAGAGTGCTAGTGTGGCTCAGACCATGAGCCGGGATGTCCCTGGTTTACATTTTACCTCTGCCATGAACTCCTTTGGTACCTTAAGACCAGATACTTTTTTTTCCAGTCTCAGCCATGTGGCTAATAGGGTGGACTAAAAATCTAATAAATAAATAAATAAATAAATAAATAAATAAATAAATACTGGGCTAATCTGTGTAAAAAATTGTAAGAGGCTAAAAAAACCCCTGCATACAGTGCCTTGCAGAAGTATTCACTCCTCCCTCTTTGAATTTTTCACAAGTTGTGAAACAACCTGGAATGAAATGGATTTAAGTTTCACTTGACATAGACAAGATACTCAATGCTGGGAAGGTATAGAATATTTTACTCTGGCACATACATTAAGTAAACCAAAACAAATTGGCACTTGGCTGCATCAGTAACCAGCCCCTTGCGTCAAGACTTGGCAGAAGTACCTCTGGCAGCAAGTATCTTGGGTAAGTCTGTATCACCCGTAAGAACAGCTGGACTTGCCATGTTGTCCATTCTTCCTGGCAAAAGTGTTCCAGCTCCATTAGTTTGGATGAGGACAACCGATGAACAGAAACTTTCAAGTCTTGCCACAGATTATCAATCAAACTGAGGTCTGGGCTTTGACTGGGCTGTTCTAAGACATGCTGGTTCTTGTTTCGAAAGCACTCCAACGTTACTTTACTTTAGGGTCAAAGTCTTCTGGAGGGTCCCTTGCAGACTGAAATGGGTTTTCCTCTAGATTTGCCCTGCATTTGGCTCCAACTACCTTGCCCTCAATCCCGACCAGCTTCCCAGTCCCTGCTGAGAAAGATCATCACCACAACATGATGCTTCCACGACTGTTTCACTGTGCAAATCAGCGCTGTCAGCTTTGTGCCCTGCCTGCTTCATGGCAAAAATAATCCATGTCGCTTTCCTCATGATTGCTTTATCTTCTACCTGCCATTCCGTAAACTCCAAGTGGACTTGGATACGTGTTTGTTTCGACAACAGCTTTCTTCTCACCACCCTTCCATAAATCCCAGCTTTGTGGAGTGTCTGCTGATGTTTCCCAAGGGTGGTTTCTCCCATCTCAGCTGCTGATCGCTCCGGCTCCCCCAGAGTTACCACTGGCCTCCTGGTCGCTTCTCTAACACCCTGCTTACCTGGTCACTTACTTTTGGTTGGCGCCTTTCTCTAATCAGTGTTGTGGTTGAGCCACATGCGTTTTGTAATCACAGATTTAACAGTGCTTCAGTTGACAGCTTGGGATAATTTTTTCTAATAACCCAGTCCTGACCGGTGCTTCTGCACAATTTTATTCCAAAGCTGTTTTGACTGCTCCCTGGTTTTCATCATGCTGCTTGTTTAGATATGCTCTGCAACAAGCGCTGGGGCCTTCCAGACACAGAGATAATGTGGCACTGGAATTGCTTGCTGGTGGACTCCATTCATCTACAGCACTTAGTGCATGTGACTTCTGGAGGCGGTACGTTCCACCAGAACATATTTAGGCTTGTCACAGCAAAGGAGGAGAATACCGATACAACAGCAAGTGTCGCTTTATGTGAGTTTACTTCTAACCACAATAACAAATATTTCGCACCCTCCAGCTGTAGCGTCTTGTATACACTAACTGGTAACAATGCCAATTAACTCTATTGCGATTTCAGGCAGCAACACCACAAGCACGGGGAAAACCTTCTTCAAGGCACTATAAAAACTAAATATCACATCGCATTCATCTCAACATTTCATTTCATTTGGCAACGAGAAAGGGGACTCAGATCTCCCTGGAGAACACGCTGTCCACCAAGGGAGTGGAAGTTCCCTGGATCCCATCTGACATGAGCAAGAAAAGGGAAAGCTCTTTATTTCCGCCATATGGGCAAGAAGGGGCATCCTTATCCACTGCACGTGGTCCCAAGTTATGAGCCTATTAGGGAAGATCGAGCAGCTACCATGCAGGTAAGCAGCAAGTCAGTTTCAAGACGGCAAACCCAAGCTCATCAAGGCCGGTATGGCAAAGTGGTGAGAGGGTTGGACTAGGAAGACCCAGATTCTACATCCCACCTGGGTGATTCTGAGCCATTCGTAGACTCTCAGCCTAGCCTACCTCACAGGGTTATTATGAGAATAAAATAGGAAGTATTCTAAGGATTATGTAAGCCACCTTGGGTTCCTTGGAGGAAAATGCAGGATAAGAATATAATAAATTTTTAAAAGTATTAAAAGATATATTCAGAAACCGTTCCCTGCTTACATGTCATTGGGTACTGTAGTCACATACTTAAGAGGAAAACAAATCATAACAGCATGTTCACCACCCAACTCAGCTTCATATGTGGGACCACTGCAGAAACCAACAATCAAATTGCACCATGTTCTACCACAGTGAATTCCAAAAGGGCAGAGGTCAGCCTATGTCAACCTGGTATCCACCAAATGTTTTGGACAGCCATTCCCATCAGCTGCAGCCAGGTTGGCCGATAGCCAGGAATTCTAGGAGCTGTGGCACACAATTTCTGGGGACCACCAAGTTGGGGGAGGCTGCTCTGCTTCTCCCTCTTTCCTGCCAAGTATGGCTGATTTCAGCTCAAACTCAACCCCACTTGGTGAATGGCATTTCTGAAATTCAGAAGGCGACAAACCCAGTGGTAACCAATTTGACTCTTGACAGAAAAGCAAGACCTGAAAGAGAGAGAAGGCAGGAAGAAATTATGTTCTCCTGTTGCTTCTAGTTGTTACAGATTGCCCTTGCTGAATATTTCCAAGTGGATTGTTTGTAGTTGGCTTGACCCATGATGGCTTAGGTTGTCCCTGCTGCATTTAAGGGTTGTCAAGGTGGCTTATAAACCAAAAATAAGCCACCTTGACAAACCTGTCTTGTGTTCACCCAACATGACAACCCCCAACAGCTTGTAAGCTTATGGTAGGTTGTCATGTCATGCAAACCTCATCAGTGAAATTCCCTATGTCAATTTCTATGTCTAGGCCCCATTTCTGAGTTTCTAATTTGCTTGGCAGTGCCCCATCGCCCTGCTTGACCCTGTAAAGACAGGGACAGAACAGTGCAATTTCAGAAGGCCCAATGCTTCAAAATTCCTTGGTAAACCAAACTGAAGAAACCAACAACCCATAAGAAATTACAACCAAATCAGAATGTTGCTGCATTGAATGCAAGCTCTGATGCCCCAAGACATGATAAACGCAGCTGCTTCAAAAGGCTTCTTTTGCATTCATCCGGTCACCCATTCCAGATCCACAGTGGAGGAAGCTTTGGCACTTCTGGTGTGAACTCGGAAGCACAGTTGGTCGGTGTCTCCATCTTCTCTACACCTCACTTCCCTGACAGCAAGTCCCCTCTCTTTGGCTGCCTGCTATTTTCACAATCCTTTGCTCCTTGCAAACAGGGAAGGGGAAGGCAATAGTCTTATGATAATCATGAGAGATATTCTTATGATTTAATGCTGTGCTCTCCTAATCAAGTACCTTCCAAGGAAGGGCCACCTTTTCTACAGGTTCTCTAACATAAGCATGATCACCTGTGCAATCAAGACCCCATGGACAAGCAACCTGTGCTGTGAATGTTTGAAGACCATCACCCACCCCCATGAACTTGGCTTCCTTCTTTGAGTTCTGATTTTGTGGCGAGCTTCATGGGATGAGTCCCATGGCACTATAAAAGACAGGGCCCAGTGCTGTGTCTGTCCCCATGTGTGAATCATACTGGGCTAAAGAAAACATCACAACTATTTTTCACACCTGCTTGCTAGAAAAAAAATCCAGAATTCCAGACGTAGAAAGCTGCAGGGTGACCTTAAAATCTCACGCCTGCTTCTCCTTTCTTCCAGCCATCACTCAGACACTTATTTTTAGATAAACGACAAGGCGTTAAGCACAATGCTCTGTTTCATGGGGACACAAAGATATGCCTTCACCTGTCACCCATTCTGATTGACTGGAACTCCTGAACTGCATGCTTTGAAGACTCAACAGAGATCTGATCACCTGGACCTCCCAGAAGGGAATATCTGATCATACCTCCAACTGTTAATTTAAAAAAATCTTACAGGTTTAATTTGTTTTCATTAGTTGCTAGGATTCAGCTACTGCAAATGTTATTCATGTGTTTCCTTGTGTTGCAGGGCTTATTTTTATATGCTGTGCTTTATATGAAATCTGCCGCATGAGTTTTGTTTAAGAATGAATATTTTTCAATTGTTAGGAGCGTGCACAACTATATCATAATGAGAATGGCAGGAGTGATTTTTGTTGTTGTACCTGCATAAAGAGAAGTACGTATGTTCCAAAGTGAGCTCTTTAAAAAGTATTTGATTTTTGTTAATGTGGTGCAGAGTATGAATGGGAAAGATCTGCCAATGGAGAAGTCTACTGGGTGTCCCTGGGTAGCAGAAAGCCACCATATTTCATCTACCTGAATCTGGGAGTTCTTTTTTGAAGTCTGCTTTTTAAGAAAGAAAGTAGGCGAGAGTTGATTGTATCGATTAATAAACATACATACAAGGAGGGGAGTTTGCTTGAACTGTCAATGGGTTGGTGGGTGGGAAAGGACAGCTGGACATGCCACCAAATCAAATGATGGTTTATTTGACAGTCATCAGCTAAAACAGCGTTTGGTTTGCTAGCAAGTACATTTGCTGTGCAGACTCCAAAGCTAGCAGGAAGCCAGGTTTACACCACAAATGCAGAACCCCCTCTTGAATTGACTTTCTCACATCCTGTCTCCACCCAGCTATCACCAGTTCAACTCATTTCACAGAAATGTGTAACTTGCAAAAATACATGTTAAAAAGGCCCTGTTCCAAAGATGCATTGCAAATGTACTTGTGGCAAGTAAAACAGATCTTCCATCTTCACTGTTTAAAAATAGCATGCTGTTATCTAGGCACATGGACAAATAAGCATTTTTATCACTTGATGACTTAAAGTCCAATGTGTCTAAAAGGAATTCAGTCTGAGCTGACATCAAGTGCAACAGAAACAGAGAAACAAAGACACAGAGCAATTCAGGGATCTCCCAGGTCATCTAGTCTGACCCCTGGCTCCAGCTGGCTCTGCTCATGACATGCCAGATGAGTCCATTTGTATTAGCTCATTTGATGTGCAGTCAGTGAGCAATAAATCTGTGAGGAATATAAATTAGCTGCTTGATATAATGTGTATCTTCTTCTCTCAAAAGTTTGGTTACCACTTTTCTCTTATTTGTCTTAACAAAATCCCTATTTGGTAAGTTCAGCAGAGAGATCTTTGCTGAACTTACCAAGGCTGCTAACTGTGTGTTTATTTGCTGTATCTCCTTTCCGTTTTGTCATAGAATTGAGATCTGAGCACAAAATCAGAAGCATTTCCTTTTCTGCTGTCTTGCTACTTAAACACTAGGTGGCACTGTGGTATAGAAGAATAGCACAAACACACAAGAGGAAATAACCCTTTCTTTCAGCTTCACACTTAAATGCCACATTTTCCCAGCTCTGAAAAAAAAACGAAAGAAAACAAAACACCCTAATTAAAACTGCTGGTTAGACACTGAAGAAAAAACGGAGGGTCATGACGTTGTCTAATGAGTCCATAAACAATTGAGAGCAGGGAACAATGAGCACAGCAGAAATGCCTCAGTAGAAAAACCTAGCACTTATGCAAGACCACTCAAGAGTCTTGCTTGATGCTCTGTTATTACATACATGAGCCCCAAAGCTCAGGCACTTCTGCTATGGCGATGAGAAACCAATAAGAAGCTACCCAACCACATAGTTTAGCAGTATGTCCAGACTAAAACAAACTGTGATTAGTCTCTTAGGTGGTACATGAGCTGCCTTGTTTTACACATTTTGGGGTCTGACTCAACTTTAAACTGCTGGAGAGGGAAGGGAGAATGCATGAGCCTGAGGTTTATTTATGTGGTATTGTTGTTATGTTTGAGCAAAGCTAATTAGACTCTCTCTTGAATGTTGTCCACACGTATTTAAAAGCCATGCACATACACCTGGCGTGAATGCACATACGTATATATAAAACCCAAAGGACCAAAATGAGCCCAGAGCTAGCTGGTGGCAAAGGTCCTTTGCAATTTACTTGCAGGAGCTGCTTCTGCTAAGTAATGTCTAGATGCTACTTTTATTTGTCATAACCTATGACATAATAGCCCATAAAAAGTCATCCCTGGCCAAAAAAATGCTTCTTGTCTCTTTTATGACATTTTTATAGTGAGGATAGCATTAAAGTGAAATAGGTTAGTATTGAAAATAGACCTTTTCCATTAACAGGCAAATTCTGGTAGGAGATTTATGGCTTTTGGGGAGCCAAGGATTGTACTACTTATTCTCCCTTCCTTTTTCTTTCTCCCTCTCCCATGGGTGCGCAAGCTTGCAACAAGCACAAAGAAACACAAGAGCAATTCGTGGATACTGGAGGTGAGCTACAATCAGCAAACTCATGTGATTTAGCTCTCACTAGACTATACCACCTCTGAGTACAGCTGGGGCGGGTTCGAATGGAGAAGAGCTCTGTAAGGCGGAAAAGCCAACAGCCAGTGGGGGCAGGAGGAAAAGGAAGCAACTGGAGAAGAAGCAGAGTGGAGAGGATGCAGAGATACACAAACAATGTGGGAAGAACCATCTCATAGTCTCAAAAGATCAATCCCTGATTCATACTAAGAAGGTGTTTTAAAATGATGGAAGTGAGAGCTGCTCATACACATAAACGCAGAAATAAAATAATTAGAATCATAGAATAGTAGAGTTGGAAGGGGCCATGAAGACCATTGAGCCCAACCTCCTGCTCTTGCAGGATACCACGTTACACCATCCTTCTCAGATGGCTGCCCAGTTTCTTTCTGAATGTCTCTAGTGTGGGAGAGCCCACCACCTCTCCAAGCAGCTGGTCCCACTATCGTACTGCTCTGACAGTGAGGAAGCTCTTCCTGATGTCCAGCCTGAATCTGGGTTGTCGCAACTTGCATTGATTATCCCGTGTCCTACACTCTGGCATCAGCAAGAAGAGATCTTGACCTTCTTCATTGTGACAGCCTTTGAGGTACTTCTAGAGGGATATTATGTCTCCCCTCAGTCTTCTCTTCCCAAGGCTGAACATGCCCAGTTCCCTCAGTCTCTCCTCATAGGGCAGTGTTTCCAAACCCTGGATCATTTTTGTTGCCAGTATCTAGAGCCTGGCATGTGTTCACCCACTGACCCCCAAAAAACAAAACAGACCATGCTTCATGGGCACAGAATTCTGACTGGTACATGTGCATGGGGAGGAACCACCACAGGGTAAAATGGGAATTGAATCACATGACTGGAATCTTGAACAGAAGCCCTCAAAACTGGCCTTTCCCCCCTGGATCCTACGGTGTCTCATTTATTCTCATTGTATTTATATCTTGCCTTTTTTGATGAGGATCCAAGGTATGTAGCCTACATAATCTGCCTTCCCATTTTATTTTCACAACAGCCCTGTGATGTAGGGTACAGTGAGCATAAATGACTAGAACAAAATAATTGAATTAGCTTCACGGCTGAGCGGGAACTAGGAAACTGGATCCCCTGAGTCCCAGTCCAGCACTCTCTCTGCACAATACACTTGTTCCTTCTACTTCTGATGTTCAGACTGCCGTACACAAAACGGGAGGATTCACACTCAAGAGTGAGACAGAAGAAGGCTTGGGAGAACGTCAATGTTTTCGAAAGTACATAACATGGAAAAAACGAATAAACATCCAGTGAAGATGGAGGGTGTGCGTTGTTTATGGAATGCTGATGGAGTGTTGCGAAGGACAAAATGGGAAAACCACACGGGGCGGGGATGGAAGGAATGGGTGGACTCCCGAACAGCATGATTCCTCCACACCGCAACATTTTTCTGGAGAGGCCACCTGAAGAATTAACGGCAATCCAATGCTCTGTTCTGCTGCGAAAGCTGTGAAGTAACTGCATAATGTATCTTAGGGCAAGACTGTGGAAGAGCCATGTCATTGCATGCTTTCTCCCAGCTGCTCCAGCATAGACATAATTCCATGCCAGATCATGGCTTTTCCTGCTATCTTGAACATGTGCCAGGAAAGCATCCATCATCCAGGGTTCCAATGCTCCTATGTTCAAGAGAATGAGGTATCCTTTGGAGAAGTTCATAAAGCTGAAGCCCCCCTCTGACCTTACCACATGGAGAAGTGAGGTCGACATGTAGCAGCTGACCAGCCCCAGTCTCTCCAGTGGGGTTCTGAGGGTGCTTGCAGATGGACAGGTCCTAGCACCACCAGTCTACCAGTTAATGGGGCAGGGGCGCATATGTGTGTGTTTCATAAGAGGAAAGGCAGAAGAAGAGGTTGAAAACCACAGGATGGACCCCACAGAAATTCCTGGCTTGATGCAGACCAATTGCACAATGAAGGCCTTGACTAGCATTAACTGCGGTTTTGTTTGGAGAACTGGCTTGCAGCCCTGGAAGGCTTCAGAAGAGGATTTGATCTACGCCTTCTCTCAGCCTGCTTAGCTAGGTTGCCCACTTTCTCGCCTAATGCAGCAAATGGTACTCCCACAGCACGGAAGAGTCTCTGGGCACAACTGGGTTCCTTCCTAGGCTGCAGGACTGTAAGAGAGGCAGGATAGGTCTCCGGGTTGAACCCTCCAGCGCAAATTCACAAGCAAGCCCCACTGAGTTCAACCAAAGGTGTTCTCTAGTACAGAGGGTGCAGCACTAAGTACCATCATTTCTGGAATTTATGAAGGATTTTGGACTATTAAAATTTTGGACTATTAAAATTTGGACTATTAAAAAGTCCAAAATTTTGGACTTCAGATTTTGGACTATTAAAACACCCCGAAGATGCATATTCCATTCCAGCATATTGCTTAATAATCTGATGCTAAATTGGAGCAGCATTCAGAAATACGAAATGCTGCAATCTACAAAATTCATTTGTTTCCAGTTATCTAGGTAAGAGGAACTTCCTGCATGTTTCTAAATGCAAATACGGTGAGAAGTCAAAGATGGCTGCAATCTCATGGTCTTTTTAGGAAGTTCTCAAAACAGATGGCAAGCCAAGGGCAACCCGGCCTGATTAGCCTTGCCATAAGAGCTCTTAAGGAAACAGGGAAATTGAAAATGCAGTAAATTGACTGGGTTGATGTTAATGATACTGATTAATTAATTATTAAGTAATGCATTATGTGAAGTTGAAAATGGCAGGGTGGGAGGTTTCCCACAAGGTAACACCCAGTACTTTTACTCAACGAAATATAAGCTTATTCTAAAATTCAGCCCACTGATAACAGAAACATCTTTTATTGAAAAGGCCACATCACATTTTTCTCAGATGCAGGAGAGAGTTTAAATGTAACCAGCTGTCTGGTTGACCCAAGGAAAGAAAAGGAGGAAGAGTGTATCAGACTGGGCTGTTGAGCCTACAGATTAGCTTTCGCCAACCTGGCACCCTCCAGATGTATCAAGCTACAACTCCCATAATCCCCAAACATGGTGTGTGGGATGATGAGAGCTGTAGTTCAACACACTGGAAGGGTGCCAGGTTAGAAAAGGCTGAGCATTAATCAAATGTGGAGGGACAAGAAATTGCAGGCAAAAACTTGGCATTTTCTGCCACCACTGCTGGCCCAAGGCACCATCCAGCGTGTCCCCTCGCCGTTACTTCATTCCCTTTCCGTTCCAGTCCAAGTCAATGCGGAATTTAGTCTGCGGCATAAAGGTGGCGTCCTCCAAGTCCGATTTCCTGCACACACAACCCTCTGCCTACACGTTTTCTCGCATCTATAGTATCCCCAGCTTGCAATGTTCTTCTCGCTCTGCTTTTTTGTAACTGCCTTAAGCAAATGCAAATACATGCTCACCCTCTGCAGAAATCCTGCCTGGTTGAGCCAGAGAGCAGGCTGCAGTTGTTTCCTGACCTAAGTGAAACTTGAAAAGGATTACAAGTTGCTGGAACTTACTCTGGAGATGGTCAGAGGCATGTTGAAGTCCTTGCCCCCTTGCAGTCGGAAGCCCCATGGTCCAGGTCCGTTGAGAGTCACGCTGTAAGACATTTTAGCTCTTTTTCACGCCAGGAACCCCAAGGCTCTGCGAAACAGAGGGAAGGGGACACAGGTGGGTATTTCTGTTTTAAAAAAGAAGAGGTTTTTCTCTCTGTCTGTCTGGCAAATTCAAACACAAAATAAAGATCTTTTCTGTCTCTTGCCTGGTCAGTCCTGCTGCCGAAGTGTCACCTAAGAATAGATAGGAGTTATAATGCAGATACTGATATCCCTGATGAGAGTCCATAAAAGGCTTGTAACCAAACACCGACTATGCAAAACCTCTTGTGACTCAGAGGTCGAATATAGGCCTCCTGGGATGTTAGAGACTTATCTATGCTCCTCAGTCCCCTTTGCAGACTCCACACCACCTTCCTCAGATAAAGCAGATTTCGTTTTCGCCACCAGCGAGCCATTAAAATTTAAAAGCAATTAAAAGGCGTCACTGGTCTTTCGTTCTATTAATCTCACTGGTCAGTATAGTCTCCCAAGACTGCATTCACGTACAGCCCTTACACACGTGAAACCTGTGCGTGGGAGAACACCCATCCAAGAGAATCTTATGCAGTTTTGTTCCATATACACATTTTTCTTATATGAATGTTTATCCTTGAAAAAAAGCAGGGCAGCGGGGAAGTGGGAAAACAATGGAAAGGGAGGGGAAGGGAATGTATCTGTATTTTTTGGTTTGTTTTAAATATCCCTAAGCTTGAATGGGTTGATTTGCAAAAATCTGCTCTGTGGTTTATTAATATATGTTACCAGCTTGCTTGCCAGAGGTCTGGTAAGTGCACAGAGAGGTCTGCAGAACAGGGAGGCCTCAGTCCTTTCTATATGAAGGAAGGTTCTGTTAGAACAATGGAAAGGCGCATGCACTCATTTCTTGGGCTCCATTTATCTGTCACCCCAACAGCCGACATTCTCTGGGTGAGGTGAAGATTCAAGCATATCAGAATTACAGTTCCGGACAGTAACAGACACATCGGTGCAAAGGTTAGCCCACTTTCCTCCAATATATGCAGTCACAAGGATATCCTTTCAAAGCAAAGTTAAAAATAAGGATGCGTTGGATTATTTTCAGGAAAACATCAAAAAGTGTGCATCCACTTTTGTATTTGTTGATGAAAGACGCATGTTTAAAGACCCAGGAAGTGGCCTTCATCGCTGTGGCCCAGCTGATCCTGCCATTAGACATGAATGGGAGGTCACCCCAAATGCCAGGCGTGGGTTATCCTGAAAAGGCAGCGGACTGTTCACCATTCCTTTATTATTCCCATCATCTTTTTTATTGCCAGGAAGGGGAACAGATGCTTATGGGGATTTCTGCCTGAGGTGCCAAGATAACTGAACTGGCCTTGGATAGTATGTTCCATGGGACCAAGGTGCAGGGATGAGACCTGCTGTTCTGCTCAAGGAAGAAGGAGGTCTCGGGCTCTCTGTGCTTGAGCCCCTGTATCCCCTAAAAGCACGTTGCACGTCCCCAGGGAATGCAGTATGCAGTTTCCATCCTCAATGGCAGCCAAAAAGGTCATGAAGCATCCCAAGTAGCCATGACTTGCATTCGCAACATGGGCATTTTATCAGTTTTCCAGAATAGCCACAAGAGGGGGGTAGACTTTATAAGGAGCCCATCTCCCAAGCCAAGGAGGGACCAACAGGCAAGAGAGAAGAGATGGACAAACAGATTATCATTGTTTGTGGGCTTGTGACTCCAATGCAATCAGCTTGGATGAAAGTTCTGTGGTTATAAGATTTTACAGGGCCTTCGAATTTTTGCAGGCACAAATCTTGAGAAGGTGATTTGCCATGTGCATAATTGGACATGGTTTTCCAGCAAATCTGTGTGTGGCAACCTTATGGATATTGTTGCATCCTTTTCTGGGTGGCAGCTATCACATGGTTTGCTTACAGTGTTAGAAAGCTTCAAGTATTGGGTGGCATAGAAATGAAATAACTTCTTAGGATAATTGCAAGCAATCAGTAGGAAAGCAGTAGGTTTGCAGTTTCAAATGGAAACTTTGACCCCGTTGTTCCCTTTGGCAAATAGTGACGAAAGGATTGGCATCAGTGTTGCTAGGCCTGGACCCAAAAGAGCACAAGCCCCAAATCATTTCTTAGGGCCCTGGATCTATTCCCCAGACTGTCCATTCATGCCAATCAAAGGTGTGTGTGTGTGTGTGTGTGTTTTCCTGCAAGGAATGCATCTGGTTAACTCTCCCAGCCTGCTGCAAAAATTACATTCTATGTCTCACTGCATGGCAATTAAGCTTAGCAAAAAACCTTTTCCATTGGTCTGGGATGCAAATTCAGAAAAATCTCTCTCATTGCATAGACTGATGCAACCATATTAGGCAATGAAGGAGGAACAGTGGCGAAGTGTGTTCCTCCTCTTTTAAGTGCCTAGCAACATCCTTGGCTTAAAGAAGTATCAGTGACCGGATCAGCACAGAACACTAACTCATATTTTATTTGTTGTCGTTAGTCGTGAAGTTGTGTCCGACCCATCGCGACCCCATGGACAACATTCCTCCAGGCCTTCCTGTCCTCCACCATCCCCCAGAGTCCACTTAAGCTCACACCAACTGCCCCAGTGACTCCATCCAGCCACCTCATTCTCTGCCGTCCCCTTCTTCTTTTGCCATCTATCATTCCCAGCATTAGGTCTTCTCCAGGGAGTCCTTCCTTCTCATCTTCAGGATCTGGCCTTCTAAAGAGTAGTCAGGGTTGATCTCCTCTAGGACTGACTGGTTTGATCGCCTTGAGGTCCAAGGGACTCACAGGAGTCTCCTCCACCACCACAATTCAAAGGCCTCAATCCTTTGGCGCTCAGCCTTCCTTATGGTCCAGCTTTCACAGCCATACATTGCAACTGGGAAAATCATAGCCTTGACTATACACATTTTTGTTGGCAGGGTGATGTCTCAGTTTCTTAGTATGCTGTCTAGATTTGCCATAGCTTTCCTCCCAAGGAGCAAGCGTCTTTCAATTTCCTGGCTGCAGTCCCGGTCTCTTGGTGATCTTGGAGCCCAGGAAAATAAAATCTGCCACTACCTCCATTTCTTCCCCATCTATTTGCCAGGAAGTGAAAGGACTGGATGCCATGATCTTAGTTTAATGTTGAGTTTCAACATTTCAATGTTGAGTTTCAACATTTTGCACTCTCCTTCACCAGCATCAAGAGGTTCTTTAGTTCCTCTTCACTTTCTGCCATGAGAGTGGTATCATCTGCATATCTGAGGTTGTTGATATTTCTCCCAGCAATTCCAACTGGTGATTCATCCAGCCCCGCCTTTCTCATGATGTGCTCTGCATATAAGTTAAATAAGCAAGGCGACAGTATACAGCCTTGCCGAACTCCGTTCTCAATTCTGAACCAATCAGTGGTTCCGTGTCCAGTTCTCAGTGTTGCTTCTTGAGGTTTCTCAAGAGACAAATAAGATGGTCTGGTACTCCCATCTCTTTAAGAACTTGCCGCAATTTGTTGTGATCCACACAATCAAAGGCTTTAGCATAGCCAATGAAGCAGAAGCAGATGTTTTTGTGGAACTCCCTAGCTTTCTCCATGATCCAGCGTATGTTGGCAATCTGACCTTTAGTTTCTCTCCCTCTTCGAAATCCTGCCTGTACTTCTGGTAGTTCTCGGTCCACATACTGCTGGAGCCTAGCTTGTAGGATTTTGAGCATCACTTTGCTAGCATGTGAAATGAGTGCGATGGTGCGGTAGTTTGAACATTCTTTGGCATTGCCCTTCTTTGGGATGGGAATGTAAACTGACCTTTTCCAATCCTGTGGCAACTGTTGAGTTTTCCAAATTTGCTGGCATATTGAGTGTAGCACTTTTACTGTTTTGTCTTTTAAGTACACTTTTACTGTATCGTCTTTTAAGATAAGCTCAGCTGGAATACTGTCGCCTCCACTAGCTTTGTTGTTGCTCAGACTTCCTAAGGTCCATTTGACTTCACACTCCAGGACGTCTGGCTTGAGGTCAGTGACCACCCCATCGTGGTTATCAAGGACGTTAAGCTCTTTCTTGTATAGTTCTTCTTTGTAATCTTGCCACCTCTTCTTAATCTTTTCTTCCTCTGTTAGGTCCCTGCCAGTTTGGTCCTTTATCATGCCCATCTTTGCATAAAATGTTCCCTTCATATCTCCAATTTTCTTGAAGAGACCTCTGCTCCTCCCAATTCTATTGTTTTCTTCTATTTATTTGCACTGTTCATTTAAGAAGGCATTCTTATATCTTCTAGCTATTCTCTGGAATTCTGCATTCAATTGGGTGTATCTTTCCTTTTCTCCCTTGCCTTTCGCTTCCCTTCTTTCCTCAGCTATTTGTAAAGCTTCCTCAGACAGCCATTTTGCTTTCTTGCATTACTTTGTCTTTGGAATGGTTTTAGTTGCTACCTCTTGTACAATGTTGCGAACCTCTGTCCATAGTTCTTCAGGCACTCTGTCTATCAGATCTAATTCCTTAAATCTATTTGCCACTTCTACAGTATATTCATCAGGGATATGATTTAGGTCATACCTGAGTGGCCTAGTGCTTTTCCCTACTTTCTTCAATTTAAGCCTAAATTTTGCAACCAGAAGCTCATGATCTGAGCCACAGTTGGCTCCTGGCCTAGTTTTTACTGACTGTATTGAGCTCCTCCATCTTTGGCTGCCGAGCACAAAGTCAATCTTATTTCTGTGTTGACTGTCTGGTGATGTCCATGTGTAGAGTCGTCTCGGGTTGTTGGAAAAGAGTGTTTGCTATGACCATCGTATTCTCTTAGCAAAATTCTACCAGCCTGTGCCCTGCTTCATTTTGTACTCCAAGGCCAAACTTGCCTGTTATTCCAGTTATCTTTTGGCTTCCTACTTTAGCATTCCAATCCCCCATGGTGATAAGGACATCATTTTGGGTGTAAATTCTAGAAGTTGTTGCAGGCCTTCATAGAACCGGTCAACTTCAGCCTCTTCAGCACCAGTGGGTGGGGCATAGACTTGGACTATTGTGATGTTGAATGGTTTTCCTTGGATTCGAACTGAGATCATTCTGTCATTTTGGAGGTTGTATCCCAGTACTGCTTTTCCTACTCTTTTATTGACTATGAAGGCTACTCCATTTCTTCTGCGGGATTCTTGCCTGCAGTAGTATACCTGATGGTCATCTGAATTA